TGCGCATTGTTATTAAGCTGCTATGTTTACCTTGCTTCATAAAAGATCTCAAAACCTTCTATAGATGTCCCTTTAGCCCCCTTCTCTAGAATGAGTATTAACTTAAGTTTTCGTCCCCCACAGATGTGAGCTCTTGGAAATCACAGAACATATGTGTTTGTCTTTGTATTCCCAGCACTTAATACTATGCCAATTACCACACCAAAGCAGCTTCATCCGTGTTATTTGTAGGAATCAGGGTTCGATGAGTTTGAAAAATGGAACTGGTTTAGAATAACCAATGTGGAAATGAAAAAGAAAGCTGATCACAGCAAGTCGAAGAATCACTGAGCAGTATGTTCATTGATCATGCATGATATCACCCTTAGATTTTCTCCCTGGGTTTCTATGTAAATTGTAGAAATGTAAAATCATCACAGCAGGCTTTCTGCAGTAGAAAAAAAAATGAATCACATTACTTGTTCTCATTAATATATTGACTTTTCTTTCTTTTATTTAAGCTCTTTAAAAAGATATGATCTGCCAATGATATGGAATTAAGCCAGTAAAAAGACCTAATGTGTTATCTATCAACCAAGTAATTGCATTGTTGATTATATTTTAGGCCAGATGCCTTATGAACCAAAATCCTCTCAGGCTTCTTGATTGCTTTATGATACTAAAAATAAATCTGTGTCCCAGATGAAACTGAGTATCAAAAGAGAAGCTGATGTCAGAGCCTGCCCAGTGCAGAATGAGAGAGAAATTACAGGTAGGTAAATAAGGTTGCGATGTTTGAAAGTCAAGAAATTGTTCACATAAAATTAAATGGTGGCACCACATGAACATAACTACCTCCTGGGGGTTTCCCACTTCTCATTAATTGCAGAGTTTGCAGGATAGCCTCAGAGGCACAGCATCAAGGCTAAATGCTAGCTGTATGCCATGCAATGGATGGCTTTTTATGGCCATTCTTGCCATGGTCTTGTAACTCCTACCCACGTGATTGGGTGGGATTTTGCAAATAAGGTAATTGTGGCCCACCAAGGGGATTGGATAGCTTGCTAATAATGTAAATAAAGTGTATGGCACCCATGTGGGTGTGGGACCATGCAAATAAGCCGTATGGAACCCTAATGAAAGGATTGGTCAGTTTTGCCACTCCACTAGGCTTAAAATGAGCCATCCTGGATGCAGAAAGGGGAGACTACCAAGAAGAAGAGCTGGGAATGGAGTGTGTCCTTTGGGCCTGGGGTCCCTGCACCAAGAAACTCCTAGAGAGAGAGTGCTGTAACACTGGAGGTGGTGAGAAGCAGCAGCAAGAAACAGTGGCAGCAGAGGCAGCAGAACCAGGAGACTGCAGGAGATGGCAGGGGACCAGCAGCAGACAGCACCTTGGGCTTCCTGGCCCACAAAGTGAGAAAGCTGAGTGCCTCTGGGCAGGAGGCTTGCTGGCATCGTGGAGTGGCTCCAGGCACTTATCAGCAGAACTACAAGAGCTTTGCAACACCTGCCCAAGCAGGACAGAGGCCAGGGGGCCAGAGAGAGGCGTATCTGCAGGCATGGCTGAGAAGAAGCTGTCCTGATCAAGGAACTGTATCCTGAGTCGTTTCTGATCCTGAATTGTAAGCTGTTACTTCTCTAATGAACCCCATAAATGCGAGTATTGACTGTGAGTTCTGTGTGGCCATTGCAACGAATTATCGAACTTAGCAGAGAAGTAGAGAGTGCTGTGGTGGGGGATGGCTGGTGTCAGAATTTGTAAAAAGGTTGGCCAGAGGAGGTTATGTCTGACCTCTGCTCTTTAGAATTCAGCCTTGGGCTTGATGCTGTTGATCTTGATTCTCCTCCCAACTTGTGAAATTAGAGGAGGTCAGACAATGCCTCCACCGTGCCATTTTTACACTGTGGAAATAGTTAACAATGTGACCTTGGGCAAGGAATGTAGAACTCTCATCATATTGGTTCCTACATGCCCTTGTTGATATGAGGAGTAAGTCGTATCATATATTTAAAGTGATATGAGGATTAAGTGGTACAATATATTAAACTTGGCATAAAGTTTACTTATGGTATGACAAAGTGGCTGCAACAATGAGCTCAAGCATAACGATTGTGAGGATGGTGCAGGACCAGACATTGTTCCACTCTGTTGTACGTAGGGTCACTATGAGTGGAACCAACTCGATGACACCTAACAACAAAGTTTACTTGCTCCTTGAGAAAATCTTTATGAAGTTTGGGCAACTGAACTCTTGGGTACTTAACAGTCTGAGCTACCCATATTTTGTGTTAGTTTTCAGTTCCCACTGATCTTAAAATAGGGGTAGTTCATTCTTTGTGACGTTATCCATAATTTGTTATGATCCACACAGTCAAATGCCTTAGCATAGTCAATAAAACACAGGTAAACATCTTTCTGGTATTCTCTGCTTTCAGCCAGGATCCATCTGACATCAGCAATGACATCCCTTGTTCCACATCCTCTTCTGAATCCAGCTTGAATTTCTGGCAGTTCCCTGTTGATGTACTGCTTACAATCACTTTTGAATTATCGTCAGCAAAATTTTACTTGTGTGTGATATTAACGATATTTTTCTATAATTTCTGCATGCTGTTGAATCACCTTTCTTTGGAATGGGAACAAATATGGATCTCTTCCAGTTGGTTGGCCAGGTAGCTGTCTTCCAAATTTCTTGGCATAGACGAGTGAGCACTTCCAGAGCTGCATCCATTTGTTGAAACATTTCAATTGGTATTCTACCAATTTCTGGGGCCTTGTTTTCAGCCAATGCTTTCTGTGCAGCTTGGACCTCTTCCTACAGCACCATCAGTTCTTCCTCATATACTACCTCCTGAAATGGTTGAAAGTTGACAAATTCTTTTTGGAACAGTGACTGTGTATTCTTTCCATCTTCTTTTGAAGTGTCCTGCATCGTTTCATATTTTCCCCATAGAATCTTTCAATATTACAACTCGAGGCTTGAATTTTTCTTCAGTTCTTTCAGCTCGAGAGACGCTGAGCATGTTCTTCACTTTTGATTTTCTATCTCCAGGTCCTTGCACACTTCACTATAATACTTTGTTTTCTTGAACCGCCTTTTAAATCTTCTTTACTTCATCATTTTTTCTTTTCACTTTAGCTACTTTATGTTCAAAAGCAGCTTTCGGAGTCTCTTCTTACATCCATTTTGGTCTTTTTTTCTTTCCTGTCTTTTTAATGACCTCTTGCTTTCTTCATGTATGGTGTCCTTGATGTCATTTCACAATTCATCTGGTCTTCGGTCATTAGTGTTCAATGCATCAAATCTATTCTTGAGAAGGTCTCTAAATTCAGGTGGGGTATACTCAAGGTTGTACTTTGGCTCTCGTGGACTTGTTCTAATTTTCTTCAACTTCAACTTGAACTTGCATATTGGCAGTTGATGGTGTGTTCCACAGTCAGCCCCTGGCTTTGTTCTGACTGATGATATTGAGCTTTTCCATTGTCTCTTTCCACAGTTGTAGTTTATTTATTTATTCCGTCTGGCGAGGTCCATGCATATAGTTGCCATTTATGTTGTTAAAAAAAGGTATTTGCAATGAAGAAGTTGTTGGTCTTGCAAAATTCGATCATGTGATCTCCGGCATCATTTCTATCACCAAGGCCAGATTCTCTAACTACTGTTCCTTCTCCTTTGTTTCCAGATTTTGCATTCCTATAGCCAGTAATTATCAATTCATCTTGATTGCATGTTTGATCAATTTCAGACTGCAGAATTTGGTAAAAATATTCAGTTTCTTCATCTTTGGCCTCAGTGGTTGGTGAGTTAAATTGAATAATAATCATGTTAACTGGTCTTCCTTGTAGGTGTACGGGTATTATCATATCACTGACAGTGTTGTACTTCAGGATAAATCTTGAACCTTTTGTTGATGATGATCTCGAGGCCATTCCCCTTCAATTTGTCAGTCATGGCATAGTAGACCATATGACTGATTAAAAATGGCCAATGCCAGTCCATTTCAGCCCACTAATGACTAGCATATCCATCTTTGTGTGTTCCATTTCACTTTTTTCCAATTTTCCTAGATTCATACTTTGTTAGTTCCATGTTCTGATTATTAATGAATGTTTGCAGTTGTTTCTTTACATTTTGAGTTGTGCCACATTGGCAAATGAAGGTCCCAAAAGCTTGACTCCACCCACGTCATTAAGGTCAACTCTACTTTGAGGAGGCAGCGCTTCCCCAGTCGTATTTTGAGTGCCTTCCAACCTGAGGGGCTCATCTTCCGGCACTGTATCAGGTAGTGTTCAGCTGCAATTCGTAAGGTTTTCACTGGCTAATTTTTTCAGAATTAGACCACCAGGTCCTTCTTCCTAGTCTGTCTTAGTCTGGAAGCTCTGCTGAAACCTGTCCACCAATGGTGACCCTGCTGGCATTTGAAATGCCACCACCATGTGTGTCTGTCAGTTTGTCATACTGTGGTGGCTTGCATGTCATGTGTGATACTGGAAAAACTGAGACCTCCATGATTATTGCATAATATTAATATAATTAAGTATTAGTCACGGATAATTGTAACTACAGCAAGAAAATAAAAGTAATATATATTAGATGTGGCCATGCCCATCTTATTTAGTAAAAGCTCTTAATACTTAGACAATATTTTGTTTGTTCCCCTCTACACTAAGAGTTGTTATTTGAGGATTCTTGTATTTTCCTTTGGCCTTTCTTTTATATAAAAATATTTTGTATCTAGAAATTTTGCAATAAATGTTTGTTTAACTGCTTACCTAACAACATAAAAAGACTGTTGGATTTGACAGAACTTGCTGACAAGACGTGTTCTTTGTTTTACTGTGAGCTCCCTTTTTACTAAATTATTTCTGGACAGCCTATGAAATGACATACCGAGCAGTGAACTTTATATTCAGGAAGTTAGATAACACTTTATGGCTGGGCTTGAGCTCACTGCAGTAAACCTTTCCAAGTGCATTTGCTGCATTGCCAAAGTAGAAAGAGCAGAAGGAAAACATCATGGGAAAAAAGACTCTTTTGCTTCTGATGGTGGGAGTCCTCCTGGCATATTATGCTTACACACCTTTCCCAGATAATGTCGAAGAGCGGTGGAAACTGATGTAGATATCCGCACATACGAAAATCGTAATAGATTTGGTAAGTTCACAATTTTGTGGACTCTGGATATATAACAGTTTGATCAAGAGAAAAAAAAAATTACCTGTTCTACTTTTTAAAAATTTCCACTTTCTTAGAATGTTGGTTCCAAATTTTGCTTACTGGTTTTAAAACCTCTTTATCCTTTAACCCAGACTCTTGACAGAATGAATATGAAGGGAGTATTCAGTGATTTTTTTATTTAAAACATTAAGTAATACAATGTGCTGGCTTAGAAAAACAAAAAATAATGAGTTTCACTGCATGAATACTGTCAGAATAAAAATATTTACAGCATGAACCTACTTTAAAGCATGGAATTCAGAAATGGTAGGACTGAGTAGCCCTGTGATTAGTTATAACATTTTATACAGTGATCTTGGATTCAGATGCAAAAATGAATTCTTACTTAACAGTTTTGTAACAGACCAGTTGGTATAGCACCAAAGAAAACTGGGTCAGTATGTGACAGGTGAGCTGCTGCGGTGACAGGTCAGCTGGGAGGGCAGTAGTTTTCCATGGCTGGTCCTCAAAGACCTGTGGTTCTTCTCTAAAAAAACCCAAACCCCTTGCCATCGAGTGGACTCTGACTCATAAACATCCTATAGGACAGAGTAGAACTGCCTCATAGTGTTCCCAAGGAGCAGCTGGTGAATTCTAACTGCCGACCTTTTGGTTACCAGCCAAGCTCTTAACCACTGAGCTACCAGGGCTTCCTTCTTCTCTGGTGAGGCTAATTACTCGAAAGTGAAACCATGCTGCATCTCTTTCAACTTTCTCCATAGCAGATTGCCTCCCTGTAGCAAACGAATCTGAAGGTCAGTCTCCTTAAAGGTGCTGTGCAGTTATGTTCTGGGGCAGGAAAATGTTAGTAGCAAACTTAAAAGCCGACAGCTGAACATTGGGACCAGATAAACATTTCCAGTGACAGAGAGCTGACTGCTTCACCAGGCAGTTCACTCAGGTTTTTTTTTTAATTTTTAAATGCTTTTAGGGATATAAAAAAAGCTTACACATTAAGAAAGGAATCTAGCTCTCATCCCAGTCACTGTCCAAACCATTTCTACTACCTATTTCCTCTAAGTGCGTATCTTTATTAGTGCCTCAGGAAAGTTTATGTATTTATCAGTACATGTTTTTGTTAATTTCTCACCCTTATGCATATAAAACATAGCATACTAGCTTCTTGATTCTGAATTCCTTTTTAAAAATTTTTTTCAGTTAATACATCCTAGAGATCATTTCGTATCAGTACACACAAATGTTTCCCATTCAGTCTTTAAAAGTATATTGTGTGAATGTACAGTTTTTTTTTTTAACTAGAATTCTACTGGAAGGCAAGTAGATGTTTCCAGACTTCTGAAAATAGAAGTGATGTTGTCATTAATAACCTAATGCGTTTTTCATTTCATATGTGCATCGGTATCTATGTAGGGTAAACTACCGGAAATGATATTGCAAAGACGAAAGTTAAATACGTTTGTAATTTAGAAGTTCTTCCCAGATACCCTCCATAACGACTGAACCACTTTGCACACCCTAAGCAATATATGAGCCCTGGTGGCGCAGTGATTAAGAGTTTGGCTCTGAACCGAAAAGTCGGCAGTTCAAATCCACCAGCAGCTCCTCGGAAACCCCACGTGGCAGTTACAGTCTGTCCTAGAGGGTCGCCTTGAGTTGGAATCCACTCGACGTTTGTTGTCTGTAAGCCATGTATACAAAGAGGTGTTTTCTCCATATCTCAACAATGCAGAGGGACAGACCTTGCCTGTTTGTAACCTGATAGGGGAGAGATTATATCTCCCTTCTGAGTTATTTTGGACATATATTCATGAAACTCTTTGATTTTTGTAGAACTATATGTTTAGGTACTTAATTTCTTTTTCTATAGGTTGTCGTCCTTTTCCTATTCAATTTCTTTTAGCTCTGTTATTATTACAGATGTTTTCCCCAGTTTTCTATTTGCCTTTTGACTTACGCTGATTTTGTTACCGAGAAGTTTTGTTGTATTTAGTTTTAATGTGTTTTAATTTACTAATCTTATCGTTTATGGTTGCTGACTTTGAATTAAGGTAGAAAGATCCTTTCTACTCCATGGTTATAAATTATTTCACCCATGTTGCTTTCCAGTATTTCTATGGATTTTTTTTTATATATTTAAGTATTTGATTCATTTTTATGTGGTCTGGCGTACAGTATAGATACATTTTTATCATTCTCCAGCAGTAAGGTTTTCAGATTTAGCAAATAAAATACAGGATGCCAAGTATATTTGAACTTCAGATTAGCACAATTTTTTTTTTTTTTTTTTTTGAGTATAAGTATGTTCTGTGCAGTATTTGAGACCTATTTTTCCATAAAAAATATTTGCTGTTTATCTGAAATTTAAATGTAACTGGGTGTTCTATATTTTATCTGGCAACCCTATCCAGAAGTGTACAATCCAGAAGTAAAACAAAGATGGTGTACTATTTTCCTTGCTAACTGTAAAGAGGTGGGGGTGGGGGGACAAAACAACCAAAAGAAAAAAATCAATAGCTGCATACTAGATGCCAGGGACTGCACTGATTTACTCCATTAATGAAATCACATCTGGAATAGCAGCAGCAATGTGAGCCACCCTGAATAAGCTTGGGATAAGTCTCATCTTTCTCAAACAGTTCTCTGTCCTCTGCACACGGAGCCAGTACGCCCGTTAGGACGGTGACAGAAATGGCCACCTCTGAAGTTTCCGAATCTTTGCCTGTGGCGTTCATCTTTGCGACTGGCTGGGATGCACTATTGCCTATGTTTTACTCTTTTAGTAGGGACGAGGCATTTCAGGTGTTTTTCTTGGCCTTTACCTCCATGGTATCTCTCAACTGATACAACCAGGAACCATGTGAGGATATTATCAGTTGCCAAATATGTCTGTTTCAACTACACATTGAGAGTAGCGGGAAGTAAACACTGTGGCTTTTCAGACCCGATGGGCCCATTTTAAGGTGGAATCAGTCTGAAACACCATTTCTCACCAGATATCCCGAGGACTTCCATTCTACCATGGCAACTTTGGTGTCCTGATGAATTAATTATCACTTCTGAACCCGTGTCCACTAACTCCCCACACCCAGAGTCTGGGTGATTCTCTTTCCCCAGTACGGTCGTCTAGGTCTTGGTTCTCTGTAGGAATGCAAGGAGGCAAGTTGATAGTACATTTGTGACAGGGTTACATGGGTCTCCCTCACTGTGACACTAACTCTCCTTCATTCAAGGGATGCTGGGTCTGTGAAGTGGCTTATCTCTGGGAACTGGGTGAGAAGAAGTGATTTAATACAGGTAAGTCAGACTTTATTGATTTGCCCAAGCTTTTCAGTTTTCACTTTGTTACTGCCGGAGATCTCTGAGATGACTGTTTCACCCCTGTTGTTCATTTCAGTAACTGCATCTACTTTATTGCTGGGAGTTAATCCCTGCCAATTGACCTCCACCATTTTGGGATTTCATTATCTCTACTGAAATCAGAAGGTCCATGTAAGTGACAGCCCCTTCCACTGTCATTCCTGGAAAACAGGTGACTGTCACTACAGGTTTTATTAATTAAGATACTAGGGTTCCACTCATCAATATATTCCTCAGTGTCTTGATACAGAGAGTATCCCCTGACTTTCCTGAGACACACAGTGAGGGGGTAAGACATGAGTTACAGTAATAAATTAGCTCCAATATTATTATTTCTCTAATATGTGGAAAATTCTGGCATCTGACCTCATTAAATGTATCTACTGCTGAGACTGATTGCTACTGCTGGTTTGGGAGAATTGGTGAGATCCTGGAGTTCATGGTGTTTAGATGCATCAGAAACCCTACAAATGTTTCTATACAATACTCAGGATATCACTTAGATACGAAAGTTAGACCAAATCTTAACTTTCAACTAAGACATCTGGCAGGACTCGGAATTCACCTTGCATTATGATTCCACAATCTGTAAGATCAAACTTTGGTTTTATTTTCAAACAGATGTTAGGGATAAGAAATGTCTTTCAGGATAGTTTTAGAGGGTATCTGCTTTTCTGACTATGGTTTGAGCTGAAAAACTAAAGGTATAAGAATATAATTTTCTCTCTGTAACCCTTTAATTGCATTCAATACTTGAACTCATCAATTTCACCATAATATTTTATTGCAACAAATACTTAGTCTCCCCAAACTCTCCCTCAATAGGAACTACTACCAGTGTTAAATTAAATGACTATCCTGCTCCTGCATTCCGTGCATTAACAGGGTTCCATTTTACAATGGCGATGAGGTCAGTACTGTCTTTAAATCTAATCGAGTCAGATACGGTATCAAATTGAGCACGTCTTAAATGTTCTCCTTTCAGACAACCCTTTCCAGACTATATTCTCTATCAGTCACGTTTTTGTCAGAACACACACGCTACAACAGGAATAGGTTAAGAATAGAGAATCTGAGACACACAATCTTTAAATGGGGGAGTGAAGGGAAGCCACCAATAGCTCTAGTTACCTGCCTCACTGCAGTGGTAGTTCTCCAGAGGTCAACCAGAGGCATGGAAAGCCTCATGTTTGTCAATGTCTGTATGAATGTACCCGGTGGTTTGAAAACAATAATGACTTTCCTTTCTTTCCTGCCCTTCCAGTCTTACGAGAGTGTGTCTTTGCAGCCCAGTTTAATCTATAATCACACTGGCAAGGAGTTCTGGGAAATAATATTTCTCTGTCTTCTCTTTTCGAAACAGGGTGGGAATGATTCCGTGTTGACAATAAGTGATTTGGTTATTCCTTTTTGTACTCATTTAATCTCAATATAAAGTCCCTGGGTGGTGCAAATGGTTAATGCACTTGGTTGCTAATGGCAAGTTTGGTGGTTCGCCCACCAGTGTCCCTTCAGAGGTGCCTTGGAAGGAAGGCCTGGCAATCTACTTCAGAAAAATCAGCCCTTGAAAACCCTATGGAGCACAGTTCTACCCTAACATGCATGGTGTCACCTTGAGTCAGAATTGACTCAAGGGCAACTTGTTTTTGGTTTTTAATCTCAGTATAATGTGGAAGATGTTGACTCAGCTATTAAATTGATCACTTGGGATCATAGTCCACATGTGTTCAATTTAAGCTTGGAAAACAAGTCTTTTTTTTTTTTTATTGTGATTTAGGTGAAAGTTTGCAGAGCAAACTAGTTTCTTATTAAACAGTTAATACACAAATTATTTTGTGACATTGGTTGCCAACCCCACGATGTGTCAATACTCTCTCCTCCGCCCCAGTTTCCCTGTTTCCATTCATTCAGTTTTCCTGTCTCTTTCTGCCTTCTTGTCTTTGCTTTTGGGCTGGTGTGCCCATTAGTCTCATATACATGATTGAACTATGAAGCAAGCCCCTCACTTGGGTTGTTGCTGTCCCTATAGACCTGTCTTATCTTTTGCTGACAGGCGAACCTCAGGAGTGACTTCAGTACTGAATCAAAAGGGTACCTGGTGGCCATGCTCTTGAGGTATCTCTAGTCTCTCTTAGATCAGCAAGCCTGGTTTTTTTTTTATTTTATTTTTTTTGTGAATTTGAATTTTGTTCTACATTTTTCTCCTGCTCTGCCGAAGACCCTCTATTGTGATCCCTGCCAGAGCAGTCAGTGGTGCTAGCCGGGCACCGTCTAGTTGTTCTGGGCTCAGTCTGGTGGAGGTTGTGGTAGTTGTGGTCCATTACTCCTTTGGACGAATCTTTCCCTTGTGTCTGTGGTTTTCTTCATTCTCCTTTGCTCCAGCCGGGATGGGACCAGTAGGTGTATCTCAGATGACCACTCAAAGGCTTTTAAGACCTCAGTCTCTACTCATTACAGTCAGATGTAGAACATTTTCTTTACAGACTATGTTATGCCAATTGAGCTAGAAGTCCCTCCTGAGACCATGGTCCCTGGTCTGTCTGGGATTTTGGATGTGTTTGTGAAGCTCCTATGACTTTGTCCTGGTCAAGTAAATCTTTTTGACTCTTAGAATTGCAGTGTTATAGCTCCTTCATCATCAGACTCACACCCAAGTCTTCAGGCTCCTTTTCTTTTCCTGTGCCCTTCTGTGGACCTGGCTTTATAGCTTCACTAAATAACCTGCGTTTTTCTGATTATAATAGGAGCTTCCCCTCGCTATTCCTTTGATCTTGAATGAATTTTCCTCCTTTGTTTGGGTAAACACTACCCCCCTTTCAATACTCATATCAAAGGTCACTTATTATTTGCAAACTCCCGCCCATTCTTTGTTTCCAGGTAACTAGTTTATCTCCCATTGAGCACTGCCGAAGAAAGTTCTTTATGCGTATCTAAGAGACATGCAGTTATGCTGTTTTATAACTACTTATGTGTCCATGTCTCCAACTTGACTCTGAGCTTCTTCAGAGTAAAGAACCTGACTCGTTTATTTTTGCACTAAAAGTAGTTACCACTTTTAATGCAATTGTAATACCGCCATAAATCTTCAAGTGTCTTTTTTGTGCTTGAGGTACCTGTTACGTTGATGCATTTAAACCTCCAGTATCTCTCACTAAGTCATTCAGATTCAGCTTTGAGAATGTCGCAAAGGACCACTGGGGGCATACTGAAAAATTTGGTATAATTCTGGGTTCATAAACCACTTTGGCATTTGATATTTTTAATCTGATGGGTTCTTTCCCCTCTTTTTTTTTTTTTTTTTTCTTTTTAAGGCTCGATTTGCTGAACAATTGGGAATCAGCAGTTTACTGAATGCTGCAAAGTTCGTTCTGAGCTTTCAAGAAGTCCCACCCACATCTGATGACAATGTCACTGTGACAGACACAACTTTCAACAACATTCCAGTTCGTGTATATGTGCCAAAGCGAAAGTCAGAAACACCAAGAAGGGGTTTATTTTATATTCATGGTGGTGGTTGGTCTATGGGGAGTGCTGGTATGTTCCCCTCACTGAAAAATTTTCCCCTTATTTAAAAATGTAGCTTATCAGATAAGAAACAAGTTATTAAGATTTCGTTTCCAGCATAGCAATGTATATGTTAACATTATCACAGATAACAAAACACTTCAGCTGTTTGAAATTGATTTCCTTGGTGCTGTTAGTTTAAAGGGATTATTTTAAATCTTTTTTAAAAATAATATTTTATTGTATTTAAGGTAAAAGTTTACACAGCAAATTAGGTTCCCATTTAACAAGTTCTACACAAATTATTCAGGGATATTGCTGGCATTTTTCACAATGTGTCATCATTCTCGTTCATTCCATTCTATTAGTACCATTTTTAATACTCTTGCTCCCTGCCCCCTACCTTCTCATCTTGCTTTAGAGAAATTTTTGAACATTTGGTCTCATATAGATGACTTTTTAAAGGGCTCATTACTCATGGGTGATATTTTTTATTTTACCAGCCAATTGGTTATTTAGCTAAAAGGTGACCTCAGTGGATATTTCAGATTAAGTTTTAAACAGAATCTCAGGGTGATAGTCTCAGGGAGTCCTTAATTTCAACTGGTCTGGTAAGTCTGGACTTTTTTAGAATTTTAATTCTGTTCCACATTTTTCTCCTGTTCTATCAAGATCCATCATTCTACTGTGGCCCTAATTAAAGGACAGAGCAGAACTGCCCCATAGGGTTTCCAAGGAGTGCCTGGTGGATTCAAACTGCCCACCTCTTGGTTAGCAGCTGTAGCTTTTTACTATGCCACCAGGGTTGATAGCTTGTTAAATCTCTTTCTGAAAGAGGGAATAGTCAATACTAAAAACTGTAGCTAATGTAAGGTAAGAAGAGAAAGTGCCTCATGAACTTACAAGTTTATATTAATCTTGCTAATTTCAGATTTGATGCAGTGAAAATCAAAATGAAATGATAGTGGATGAGAAGTGAGGAAATGGAGACAGTGACTCCAATCTTCCAATAAGCTTAGATGTGAAGGAAATCAGAAGGAAGGTGTCAGATGGAAAAGAAACGCAGAATTGAGTAAGGGTATTTTATTTCCATTTTGTAGATGACAGGTCTATGAACATGTTTATAAGCTTAAGGTAAAGATGACAGTAATACAGATGCATTGAAGAAATATAGAGAGCCTGGACGGGTGGGATGGGGTCTGACTGACCTAGGAGATAGCGGAGGGAATTGGGCTCAGAAGGAAGGAGGAGGATTAGCAAACCAAAGCAGGAGGAACAGGTCTGTGATAGGAGAAGAGGTATTGTTTGGGCATTAATGTGTCTTGGGAAGGTAAATGGAGCAGACATGTGGTGGTACTGTTTATTGTTTTCTAAAGTTCAGGCAGTAACTCACAGCTGACAGTAAGTAATGTTTCTAGCCTAAAATCTGACCACGCCGTACGTACCTCAGTTAGTTGCCCATGGATCCTCGCTGCCCAAATTGCTGCTTTGCAACATCTTCCGGCAAACTATCCCTGAAGAATGGGAATATTTTTACTAAGGTAAAATACTAAAATGAAGATAAGCCCTGAAACAAACAAACATTTCCCTGATACTTCTAAGTTTAATATTAAAGGAAAAAAGTGTGTATTCTAATCCAGCATAGAAGTATGACGTTTATAATAAATGTTTGTTAACTTAAAACTTAGTGAATATTTGACATTTTTAAGAATATTCAGCACTTGGTTTTGAAACATCACAAGATAATAGAGCCTCCTTTTTTCATGGCATAAATGGTTCCTCAAGAAATGGCACTGTTACAACAGCACATCCCAATACTTTAGCAATTGGTGATTTCTCCCCCACCTGTCGTTACTGACAAATTCTATTCTGTCTTCTGAAAATCTTGTTATTCCCAAAAGGGAGCACTTACCCAAGCCCCATAGAAAACATGTGTGGCCCACCCTCACCCCAAACAAAAATCAAAATCAAACCCCAAAACCGTCCTTCTTGTCTTCCTAGAAAATATGAATACATAAATCTAATCTTAGCTCGACTCTCCTTCCTTATCTCCCACTGGCAACTTCATGAAGTCTTATCCCGTCCCCACATAGCACTTTCTGTATCCCTCCTTTAAAGAAAATAATACTTTGCATTATTGCTGTTGGCCTGTATGTTTGCGCTTCTGCCCACCTTTTCAGTAGATGGTACTTTGCTTGAAGTCAGGGAGTTCATTACATGTTTGTACTTCAAAATCTAATATCTACTGAATGAAAAGGGGGAGATTAGTGGTGAGAAGAATGAAGCTGGTTTAAATAATCCATTGTGAAAATGTCTGCAAGGGTGAGAAAGCTCACCATGCACATGTAAAAAGATCCCTGGGCAGAAGAATTCACATCCTACAGTTCGGAGGAATCTTAGAAATAACTTTTTCTCCACAGCATTTCACTAAGCAACAAAGTGTGACTAGTAGGCTTTCTGATGAAGAAACATTCATCAATTCATTTGTCAGTTGGTATTAATATTCTGATTTTGTTTTTCTTTTATTTCAGCTATGTTTGCTTATGACCTTCTGTCAAGGCAAACAGTTGATAGACTTAATGCTGTTGTGCTATCAACCAAGTAAGAACACTGTTGGTTTCTTTGGTTTTACGCCAGATGCCTTATATAGTGAGATGCTATCAGCTTTCTCAGTCATTGCTTGGTTATTCCAGGACTGTCCCATACGAAATCAAGTGGATGAGAATAGAGAAAGTGAGCTGGAGCATGACAAGAACAGAGTCAGAGAGAAAAGAATGGTACAGTTAGTTGAAGTGTGAATCAAACATGGAAAGTCAAGAAATTGGTTGAATAAAATTAAGTAACTATATCTCATGGGCATAATTACCTCCGCTGGATTTCTACCCAACTTTTAACTCTTAATTAGTGGAGTGATTAAAATGAGGGCTTCAGAGTCAGAGAATCAGGTTCAAATCCCGGTTCTAAGATTAGTTGAGTTACTTTGTGCAAATTGAATAATATCGCCAGCTTAGTTTCCTCATCTGTAAACTGGGAATCATATAATATTGATTTAAAAAAATTTTCATGGTGGTGAGTGTGTGTGTATCTGTGTGTGTGTGTGTACATGTATATATATGGAGCCCTGGTAGCATAGTGGTTAAGAGAAAACACGTGTGACCCACCCCCAGCCCAAACAAATACCAAAATCAAACCCAAAACTGTCCTTCTTGTCTTCTTAGAAAATATGAATACATAAATCAAATCTAAGGTCGACTCTACTTCCTCTGTTTTATATATACCAAAAACCCATTGCTGTCAAGTCAATTCCAACTCATAGCGGTAGGGTCGCTATGAGTTGGAATTGACTTGATGGCAACGATTTGGTTTTTGGTTTTTATAGGGTTTCTAGGATTGGCTGGTGGATTCGAACTGCTGGCCTTTTGATTAGCAACAGAACACTTAACCACTGTGCCACCAGGGCGCCATATATATATATATATATATATACATATATATATATATAGCCATTTCAATATCTTTTTACATGTCAGTTCATTGAAATTAATTACTTTCATCATGTGCAATCATTCACTGCTGTTTCCATATTTTTCCATTGTTGTTTTTGAGGATTAGGTAACAAAATACATTTAAAGTGGTTATCACAGTGTATGTTACAGTATAATCCTATGGTAAAGCAATTAGTCACCAAATTACACATGGGAATAGAGACAGAATTCCATTCTCAAAGAGCATTCTAGGTCAACAATCAATGGTAGACAAGAAATCCAATGAAAATGAGTAGACAAATGAAGACGCTATGAAAAAAAAACATAGCCATGACATAAGCCAACTTGATTATTAGAATAATCGGAACAGAATTATTCTTATGATGTGTTTGCCATTTGTTTAAAAAAACCCAAAACCAAACCCATTGCTGTCCAGTCGATTCCAACTCATAGAAACCCTATCAGACAGAGTAGAACTGCCCCATAGGGTTTCCAAGGCTGTAAATCTCTACAGAAGCAGACTGCCACATCTCTCTCCCTCAGAGCAGCTAGTGGGTTTGAACTGCCAACCTTTCAGTTAGCAGCTGAGCGCTGAACCACTGTGTCACCAGGACTCCTATTGCCATTTTCTGATTACTAATAAAGTTTAATGATTACAAAAAAAATAGCATTCTGGGAGAAGTTGAGCTAGGGAAAAATATTACCTAGGGATAACCACCCCCCGGCCCAAGTCTAACTTTTGTATTAAAGCCTTTACCCATTGCCATCAAGTAGATTCCAAGTCATAGCGACCCTATAGGACAGAGTAGAACTACACCATGGGGTTTCTAAGGAGTGGCTGGTGGATTTGAACTGCCGATCTTTTGCTTAGCAGCCGAACCCATAACCACTGTGCCACCAGGGCTCCATTAAAGCCTTTACTTCTATAAAAATGACATTTGTAAAAGTCTGCCTATAAAGCATCATCATAAGGATGAAGTCTGTCTTTGGATTCTTCATGACATAAAACATCAAGTTTGCAATAGAAACATTTTACTTTTGATTTTAGAGTTGGAGCAAACACACACGAACACACACATACACACAAAGCATATTTTTTCCTTTAAAAATAAGTGACTTAAAAAACATTGTATTTCTGTTCACAGCCACAGACTAGCACCTGAATATCATTTTCCAATTCAATTTGAAGATGTATATACTGCATTAAGGTGGTTCTTACACCAAGATGTTCTTGAAAAATATGGTGTAAATCTTGGTAGAGTCGGTATTTCTGGAGACAGTGCTGGTGGGAATTTAGCTGCAGCAGTGACTCAACAGGTATGATGCTCACATATGTTTTATTAAAAAAATCCTACTCTTAACCGTATGTATTTCAAACATTCCAATATCGACTCTATTATGTTATTATAGTAATACATTAATATTAGAGAACATTTATGTGTCTAGTGCTTCTAATTCTACCCCCTGATAAAATACATACAAAGAGAGATTTACCTTTATGGTTACCATGGAGATACTGCTTATTTAAAAACAAAAACAAAAAACTTTCCTCTGAAAAAAATGATCATATTCACCCAGGCCTGTAAGCAAGTTTTCTACCTTCTGAACTTAGATATTTAAAAAAAGAACTGTTGTTGTCGTTAAGTGCCCTCGAGTCAGTTCCAACTCATAACGACCCTATGTAAAACAGAGTGAAACAATGCCCAGTTCTGAGCCATCCTCTCAGTCGTTGCTATGTTTGAGCCCATTGTTGCAGCCACTGTATCAATCCAACTCAATGAGGGTCTTCCTCTTTCTCGCTGACCCTACACCTTACCAAGCATTATGTCCTTCTCCAGGGACTGGTACCTCCCGAAAACATGTCCCAAGTACATGAGACAAAGTCTTGCCAGTCTTGCTTTTAAGCAGCATTCTAGCTATACTTCTTCCAAGACAGATTTATTAGCTCTTCTGGCAGTCCATGGTATATTCAGTATTCTTCACCAACACCATAATTCCAAGGCATCAATTTTTCTTTGGTCTTCTTTATTCATTGTCCAGCTTTCACATGCATATGATGGTATTGAAGACACCATGGCCTGGGTCAGGCACACCTTAGTCTTCAAGATGATATTATTGCTTTTTAACACTTTAAAGAGGTCTTTTACAGCAGATTTGCCCAATACAATGCATCATTTGATTTCTTGACTGCTGCTTCCATGGGTGTTGATTGTGAATCCAAGTACAATGAAATCCTTGACAACTTCAGTCTTTTCTCTGTTTATCATGATGTTGCTTATTGGTTCCGTTGTGAGGAGTATGATTTTGTTTATGTTGAGGTGTAATCCATACTGAAGGCTGTGGTCTTTGATCTTCATCAGTAAGTGCTTCAAGTCCCCTTCACTTTTAGCAAGCAAAGTTGTGTCATCTACATAATGCAGGTTGTTGATAAGTCTTCCTCCAATATTGATGCTGCATTCTTTTTCATGTAGTCCAGCTTTTCTGATTATTTGCTCAGCATACAGATTGAATAAGTATGGTGAAAAGATACAACCCTGACACACACTCTTCCTGACTTTAAACCACAAAGTATCCCTCCGTTCTGTTTGAACAACTGCCTCTTGGTCTAAGTACAGATTCCTTATGAGCACAATTGTTCTGGAATTCCCATTCTTTGCAGTGTTATCCATAATTTGTTATGATCTACACAGTCGGATGCCTTTGCATAGTCAGTAAAACACAGGTAAACATCTTTCTGGTATTCTCTGCTTTCAGCTATGATTCATCTGACATCAGCAATGATATCCCTTGTTCCATGTACTCTTCGGAATCTGGCTTGAATTTCTGGCAGTTCCCTGTCGATGTACTGCAACCATTTTTAAATTATCTTCAGGAAAATTTTACTTGCATGTGATATTAATGATGTTGTTAGATAATTTTCGCATTCTGTTGGATCTCCTTTCTTTGGAATGGGCACAAATATGGATTTCTTCGAGTCTCCATAGATGAGTGAGCATCTTCAGAACTGCGTCCATTTGTTGAAGCATCTCAGTTGGTATTCTGTCAATTCCTGGAGACTTGGTTTTCACCAATGTGTTCAGTGCAGCTTGAACTTCTTCCTTCAGTACTATCAGTTCTTGATCATATGCTACCTCCTGAAATGGTTGAACATTGACCAATTATTTTTGGTACAGTGAATCACGTGTATTCCTTCCATCTTTTGATGCTTCCTGAGTCTTTCAATATTTTTCCCATAGGATCCTTCAAAATTGCAACTTGAGGCATGAATTTTTACTTCAGATCTTTCAGCTTGAGAAATGTCGACTGTGTTTTTCCTTTTTGGTTTTCTAACTCCAGCTCTTTGCACATTTCATTGTAATACTTTATTTTGTTCAGCATTTTTACTTCATCATTTCTTCCATTTGCTTTAGCTACTCTACATTCAAGAGCAAGTTTCAGAGTCTCTTCTGACATCCATTTTGATCTCTTCTTTCTTTCCTGTCATTTTAATGACCTTTTGCTTTCTTCATGTATGATGTCCTTGATGTCATGCCACAACTCATCTGATCTTCCGTCATTAGTGTTCAATGAGTTAAATCTGTTCTTGGGATCGTCTCTAAATCCAGGTGGGATATACTCAAGGTCATACTTTGGCTGTCATGGACTTGTTGTAATTTTCTTCAGCTTCAACTTAAATTTGCATATGAGCAATTGATGGTGTGTTCCACAGTTGGCCCGTGGCCTTGTTCTGACTGATGACATTGAGTTTCTGCACTGTTTCTTTCCACAGATGTGGTTGATGTGATTCCTGTGTACTCCATCCTGCCACATTTCTGTGTATAGTCACTATTTATGTTGGTTAAACAAGGTATTTGCAATGAAGAAATCATTGGTCTTGCAAAATTCTATCATGTGAACTCTAACATCATTTCTATCACAAAGGTCATATTTTCTTCTTTTTTTTTTTATTGTACTTTAGATGAAGGTTTACAGAACAAACTAGCTTCTCATTAAACAGTTAGTACACATATTGTTTCGTGACATTGGTTACCAACCCCATGACATGTCAACACTCTCCCTTCTTCACCTTGGGTTCCCTATTACCAGCTTTCCTATCCCTTCCTGCCTTCTAGTTCTTGCCCCTGGGCTGGTGTGCCCCTTCAGTCTCATTTTGTTTTATGGGCCTGTCTAATCTTTGGCTGAAGGGTGAACCTCAGGAGTGACTTCATTACTGGGCTAAAAGGGTGTCCGAGGGCCATGCTCTTGGGGTATCTCCAGTCTCTGGTCTTTTTTTGTGAGTTAGAATTTTGTTCAACATTTTTCTCCAGCTCTGTTCATGACTCTCTATTGTGATCCCTGTCAGAGCAGTCCGTGGTGGTAGCCGGGCACCATCTAGTTGTCCTGGACTCAGTCTGGTGAAGCCTGTGGTAGTTGTGGTCCATTAGTCCTTTGGATTAATCTTTCCCTTGTTCCCTTGTGTCTTTAGTTTTCTTCATTCTTGCTCCCCACAGGATGAGACTAGTGGAGTATCTTAGATAGACACTCACAAGCATTTAAAATCCCAGATGTTATTCATCAAAGTAGAGTGTAGAACATTTTCTTTATAAACTATGTTATGCCAATTGAGCTAGATTTTACCCAAGACCATAGAACCCACAGCCCTCAGCCCAGCAATTTAGTCTCTCAGGGAGTTTAGATGTGTCTGTGGCGCTTTCATGACTTTGCCAAAGCCATATTTTCCAACTACTGATCATTCTTTGTTTCCAACTTTTGGATTCTAATCAACAGTAATTGTCAATGCATCTTGATTGCATGTTTGATCAATTTCAGACAACAGAAGTTGGTAAAAATCTTCAATACCCTCATCTTTGGCATTAGTGGTTGGTGCATAAATTTGAATAATAGTCGTATTAACTGGTGTATGGATATTATCCTATCAGTGACAGTGCTGTACTTCAGGATAGATCTTGAAATGTTGTTTTTGACCACGGGTGCAACACCATTCCTCTTCAATTTATCATGCCCAGCATAGTAGACCATATGATTGTCTGATTCAAAATGGCCAATACCAGTCCATTTTAGCTCACTAATACCTAGGATATTGATCTTTCTGCATTCCATTTCACATTTGACAACTTACAGTTTCCTAGATTTATGCTTTGTACATTCCATGTTCTGATTATTAATGGATGTTTGCAGCTGTTTCTTCTCATTTTGAGTTTTGCCACATCAGCAAATGAAAGTCCCCAAACTTTGACCCCATCCACATCATTAAGGTCGACTCTACTTTGAGGAGGCAGCTCTTCCCCAGTTGTTTTTTTTTTTTTTTGAGGGCCTTCCAACCTGAGGGGATCATCTTCTGGCACTATATCAGACAATGTTCCACTACTTTTTCATAAGGTTTTCACTGGTCAATATTTTTAGAAGTAGACCACCAGGTCGTTCTTCCCAGTCTGTCTTAGTCTGGAAGCTCAGTCATGTCATACTCTGGCATGGCTTTCAGTATCACAGGAACATGGAAGCCACCAGAGTATGACAAACTGACAGACACATGTTTGTTAGAAAGTGTAGGGATGGTTTTATATATATATGACTGTAGCACAAAGACAAAGAAGAGGCTGAAATACTATGGCTTAATAATCAACACAAAACAATGTGTACCACAGGTTTCACAGAGGAGCTCTAAGCCTTACCCAGGGGTGTTTTGTTCATTGTTGGAGCCAAATTAGAATCTCAGTTACATGATCCTTTTGCTAAATGTTAATGCCTGTAGATATAATAAGATGTGTACGTAGTTTTTTAATAAAAAATTTAAAAAAAACACTGGATCATCTGGTTGCCATTCTTGTTCATAAGAGTAGAGATTTTACTTTTTAATCATTGAGTAGATCATTTCTTTCACTAGTGTAAAT